TTTTCTTTTCTTTTCTTTTCTTTTCTTTTCTTTTCTTTTCTTTTCTTTTTTCTTTTCTTTTCTCTTCTTCTTTTTCTTTCTGTTGGCAAATTCACCAGGGAGGTACTTACTGCCAAACACTTCACTTCCAGATTGTACAGACTAGACTAGGAGGAGCATGAAGAATAGATGGCATTGAGAGTCGGCAGGAGGGCTGACATGAGAACACACGTAGACCCCTCCTAAGGACACCCTTAAGTATTAGGGGGCCACCTGTGGGGCCAAGATTCTATATGAGAAATGAGGACAAATGCCAACCAATGTGAGTTACTGCTGTGGTGTAAATAGCGCAGTGATGGGAGCATGTGTTACAGTCCTGGGCAGACATTTCTCTAAGTCCTGCTTCCACTGTGGCTCTCTGACCCTGAGCACGTTACTTAACCTGACAGTCAGGTTCCTCTTCTCCGAGATGAGGTAAAGTATCTATTTCATAGAGTTGTGGAGAGGTTGCGTGGTAGTGTATATGAAAGGCTGAGGTCTGGCACATAATTAACTCTAAAAAAATCCCAGCCACTCTTAAAATGTATACCCACACATTACTGGGGCCTGGAGAAAATTAGATGAATCAACAGAACAATTTGAGTTATTAAATGAGATATAAAAAAGCTTGAAAACCTCCAGTGGGTAATCGCATTTAAGTTTCTATGCTTCACATTAGACAGGTGAACACTTAAAAGCTGAAGAATGAACCAGGATGTGGGAGAGTTGACTATGATTTTGGGACCAGGAGACATGGGTTTGAATTCTGGAGTAGGCATTTCTTAGTGGTGACTCACAAGACATCTCTTAACTTCAGTGGACTCACCTGTAAAACAATATTTTTTTGGCCTATAAAAAAACCCTCCTTCCTACCTTCCAAAATAGTTTTGCAGGTTAAGCTGGGATAATCTATACAGGAGAACTTTGTAAACACACAAATGATCTGGAGGGTTGTTAGGAAGGCCATGATGCATTTTTGCATAGAAAAACACGTCCTGACCTTCCCAATGACCTAATCTAGGTTAGGTCCTTAAGTTGCGATGGACGATATTATAATTATATTCATAATTATTATAATTCTAAACTAAGTCATTGTTTCTGACTTCTCAAAAGATTCAAACTTTCTCTGAAGTTGACTTCACATTTTTCACTATCACCCACCTTTGAGATTCATGGGGTGTGAATGCAAACAAGAGATAGCTTACACTGTGCTTTATTTCTGCTTAGGAGTTCTCATTACTGCTAGAGAGAAAAAGAAAATTCTAGAATCTTAACAAGAGTAGAGGAATAAGGCACTGGGGAGGGATATCAGAACACTAATTTCTCTCTCTTAAACCTTATGGCAACTTTAAAAAGGAGGTAGCGTGGTCCCCTCTGGAAATGCAAAGACAGAGATGGGATAACTTGTTGAAGCCCCACAGCAGGGAGGCAGTACTGAGGCCAGTGGGCTATTCCAGCCAGTGTGTCGGGCCTGTCTGAGCTTCCCAACACCAAGGCCAGGGTTCCCAGGAAACCCACTGCCCCACATGCCTTGCCTTTGCTGACCAGAGAGTCTTACCCTCTCTACAGCTGTTTCCCTAAGTGACTCAAGACTGTAATAAAAATGTATTTCTCAAGATCTATCGTTTTACTCAAGGGAAGCAAATTCTTCCCAAACCGTGGTGATTCCAGAAAACACGTGTTAAAGGCTCAAGGCTCAAAAACTTCCAACGTTCCTGGAAATTTTCCATTCAGTTTTCAGTCAAAGGAGTCACAAGCAGTCTCCCAATTCTCACCCTTTCTCTCAGAAGGTAGAGTCCATCGCTGTCTGTCCTTGGCCGGGTGACACCAACTGTCCCAAATAGACAGGGGCTTTAAAGAGCTATGAGAAAGGACATTTCCCTGCAACTCCTAGCATGTGTTACAGTCCTGGGCAGACATTTCTCTAAGTCCTGCTTCCACTGTGGCTCTCTGACCCTGAGCACGTTACTTAACCTGACAGTCAGGGAGCATGTGTTACAGTCCTGGGCAGGCATTTCTCTAAGTCCTGCTTCCACTGTGGCTGTCTGTCCCTGAGCACGTTACTTAACCTGACAGTCAGGTTCCTCTTCTCCGAGATGAGGTAAAGTATCTATTTCATAGAGTTGTGGAGAGGTTGCGTGGTAGTGTATATGAAAGGCTGAGGTGACATGATGCCTGGCACATAATTAACTCTCAATAAATGCCAGCCACTCTTAAAATGTATACCCACACATTACTGGGGCCTGGAGAAAATTAGATGAATCAACAGAACAATTTGAGTTATTAAATGAGATATAAAAAAGCTTGAAAACCTCCAGTGGGTAATCGCATTTAAGTTTCTATGCTTCACATTAGACAGGTGAACACTTAAAA